GAGTGAGCCCATCCCGATGCCACTCTCTTAGGGACTCCTTCTCTCTGCAGTTCTCACTGCCCTTTCCCCTAGTGACTCGCCCGCCGCCTGCTGTCACCTCCTATTTTGAGATCATTGGCTGGGACATTACCGCACAGACCACCGCAAGCCTGGAAGGTTCCTGGGTGCCTCCTCCTTCCTTCATCACATTTTGTCCCCCCACTCCACCACCCCCCCCTTATTTTAACTCTTGAGATAGGATTTCATCGTACAGCAAAAGCTGGCTTAAATTTGTGGCAATCCTCCTGCCTCAGCCTACCTCTCCACTGCTGGGATTACAGGCAAGCGCTTTAATCCAAGCCCACGCATTTAATTAGCAGCGACTCCCTTGCCATTCTACCATCCTGAGTCTAGAAGGATATCTAGATGTCAAATGTCTTATTGATCAACACCCCTCTGGAGCAGTTCAGGGCATTATTGATACCTGCCCTGGTTTGAGAAGAGTTAGAGTTGATGCTGTTCATGTGAGATGTGCTAGCAAGGTCTCTGGTGGCTGGCTCGCTAATGTGGATCCCACCCGAGCTTCATTTGTGACTTGGGTAATGCCTGCTGAGGTCAGTGAATGGTGGAGAGGGTGAGGTCATGGTGAAAATCCCCCTAAACCGGACACTGTGATGCGCGTTCTTCCCAAGGAAGCAGATAAGCCTACAGCATAGGACTGCGGCAGGACATTTTAGGTTTCCTGCCAGATTACAGAGGATATGACTGGCAAGAGACTTTTTTTTTTTCCTGTCATAACAGCAGATCAGGCCAGGACACCTGAAAAGACTCCTGATGACACACGTGACAAATGACAGCTGGGTTGCCTGTGTGAGTGTGTAGCAAGGACCTCAGAAGCCAACTTCTTCATTCTTTGTCAGTTTCAAAGGGGAAAGGCGGTTGATGCCTGTCTGGTTTTGTCTCAATATTTTTTGCTGCTGGTTTTGGGCTCGTGCAACTGGAGAACTTCCTGTGTGTTAAGGATCCAGGGGTAAGAGGTCAGCACAGTGAGAGGCCAGTGCACAAGTTTAAATCTAAAAACCAGCACTAAGTCAATCAGTTACTGTCATTTGGATTGGTGACTGAGAAGCCCGTGACTCAGTACACTGGCTGCAATAAACAATACCTGGAGTGGAATTATTTCCTATTACACCCACCAAAACTTTAGAGTGGACCTGAGCCTGCAGAGTAGACCATCTGCAAAGTGGGCTCAGTTCACAGCCAACATCCATGGATGTAGGGTCAGGCCTAATGTAAGACAAAAGCCTGCTGGGAGTGAATGGACAGCCTCTAGATAGCTTTGACCACTCCCTGTTAGGAGTGCCCTGTTCTAGAGCCAGGAAGAAAATAGCTTCCACCCAGGACAGGCAGGTAGTACAAAGCCCCTGAGTTACTGCCAGTTTCTAAGATGAACTCCTTAGCAAAAACAGAGGAGGGAAGTGCCTACGTTAGATTAACTACCTACATTTTCCTGAGGTGTGCACAACATAATGGAAAAGCAAGGATGCCTAGGAGGCAGGAAGGGATTCCTGCCCTGCCAGTTCTTGTTGGGACATGTAGTGCAGCAGAGAGGCTGTTCAAAGTCCTGAATGGAAGGAACCTTTCCTTGGAACGAATTTGGCTTGGGGTGAGCCTGGCTGCTCTAATCAGGGTTTCTGGAAAGAAACCTTTAAAGGCCCACCTGGGGTTTGGCTGCTGCTCTTAACTGGTAATCAAGACCCTTTGTAAGCATGAAAAAGTGAGTCCGTTGAGTGGTTCTTCGAAAGTTAAACGTAGAACCGCCACGTGACCCAGCAGCCCCACTCCTAGGTATATATCCCAGAGAACTGAGAACACTGCTCATTCATCCATGTTCATGGCAGCGCTGTTAATAACAAAATAAACTCGTAACACTCAACCACCCAAATGCCCGTTGGTGACTGAATGGATGAACAAAGTGTGATTCATAGAAGCAATAGATTGTGCGGTCATAAAAAGGGTGAAAGTACTGATAGAAGGGGCTGGGAGAAGGCTTGGCGTTTAAAGTGCCTGTTGTACGAGCATGAGGGCTGTGGTTCTAATCCCCCAGAGCCCATGAAAATGCCAAGTGGAATTGGTGGCTTGGAAGATAGGAGATAGGATTCCAGAGCACGCTGGCTAGCTAGAGAAGCCAAATCAGCAAGCTCTGGATCCAAGTGAGAGAACCTGCCTCGGTGAATAAGGTGCATTCACACGCACACACATGTCCATACACATGCAGTATATGTGTGGCAGCAGTGGGGACCGGGACACCGCTACACGGTATGAGAATCAACTTTGGGAACATTAACCTTATCGCGGGAGGTACATGTTGTATGGTTTGGTTTCTGTGAAATGTCCAGACTGGATACACCTACAGAAACAACATAGGAATAGCTGCCAGGGGTTGAGTGTCAGGGAAGAATGCTACAGTGTGTGTTTAATAGATTGTTGCCTTTGAGGGTGATGAATGAAAGTGTTTGGAGACCAGATAATAGTGATGGTGACAAAGCACTGCGAATGTACCCAGTGCTGAATTGCATATGTGAAAGTGACCACATGATGGCTTTGTGTGTTAGGAGAATCTTACTATAGAAGGTTAAAAAAACAAAAACAAAACAAAAAAAAAAAAAACAAATCAAGGAAGAGATATTTTACATAAATGATATTTGGCATCATTTGACATTGAAGTTATGAAAGTGCCACAGTGTGTAACATTAATGAATGGAAGGGCCATTGTGTAGCATCTAATGAATGGAAATGCTACAGTGTGCAACCTGTCATGAATGGAAGTACCATTGTGTTTAAACTAATGCAGTTTAAGTGATTTACAACAGAAGCAAAAGCCTACTCTAGCGGCTGCCTCCACTCATACTGTCTTCTAAGGGAGAACAGAGTCTACCTGTTAGCACGGAACCTGCTGGATGCTGTTTCTAACAGGTCCATACCCTTAACCCATTAGAAAGGTCGCTATCATGGCCAGCCAGTTAATCCATATGCAGAAGAGTGGTTTAGGCCTGCCCTGCCCCCCAAGCTGGGTCACAATGATAGGAACACTTGAGCGAGCGGCTGCGGTGTTCTTTCTGGAAGGACAAAGTTCAGTGGCAAGATGAAGGAAGGAGCCCTTCCCTGTCCACTGTTGTCCTCGAAGTCTATTCGTAATCCTTCTTTGGGAGCTGAAAGACTTGTTTTGTAGTCCTGGTTTATTTTTAATTTCTAAAAAAAACGGTATTGCTTAGCTTATTTACCAGCTTTTGTGCCAAATAACTTTGGCATGTTTACAAAAATCAGGATTATCCATAAAGGACAAAAATGTGTCACCCTCAGACATATTCAAAAGAATGTGCCAGAGGCTCCAGGACCAGTTCCAAAGAGGAGTTAAAAAAAAAAAAAAAGTCTTTCATTTGAATGATGGGAAATATAATTTAAATAAATGCATTGCTTGCCAAGGTGGCTACTTACTAGTCAGGGTGGGGCAGCACCCATTTAGAAGTGTTTATTTAAAAAAATCAGTCACATCACTTGGTAGTTAAACCTTGGATTAATTTTCTAATGGGGACAATGACACATGCAGCATTTGCCTTGCACAACTCTGCCATCTCACCATCAGCCTAAAATAGTTGGATTCTAATCCTTTCTTACAGATCAAGCAGGCACCGATTCCCTTATGTACCCTCTGCCCTTCCAGGAAGGGGAGGGAATAGGGAATCCCTAAGCGAGCTCCCCTCCCCACCAACCCAATAATACAAGCCCTGCAGTGTGTAATGTTTAAAATGCCTGCAAGCACTCTGACCTACTTTATCTCATTCACTACTCACAATAGCCTGACTAGGAACACCCGGCCCTAGCCTCATGCTCTTTGGCCACTGCAAGGAGCTGCCAGGAGGAAAAACTTAAAAGGACTCCCTCAAAGTTTTCCTTGCAGTGGCCAGTTGCAGACCCTGCCAGAACTGGAAGCACCCTGTTTTGATTGGAGGGTGAAGGGAGGGCGTGAGACAGGGTCTGTTGTAGCACAAGCTGATCTTGAGGGTTTTTTTTGTTGTTGTTGTCGCTTTAATTAATTGATTAAAATAAAATTTTAATTGATTTTATGTATATGAGTGTTTTGCCTGCCTGTGTGTGGGGGCTGCACATACATGCCTGGTGCCCGAGGAGGTCAGAAGAGGTCATTGGATTCTCTAGAACTGGAGTTATAAGTGATTGTGAACCACCATGTGGGTGCTAGGAACTGAACTTGGGTCCTCTCCAAGAGCAAGAGGTGCTCTTAGCTACTGAACCATCTCTCCAGCCTCTCCCCACCTCCTTATATACATTTTAGAGACAGGATTTCATGTGATGTAGCACAGCCTGGTCTTGAAGTCTGTATGTAGCAGAGGATGATTTTGAATTTCTTTCATTGTCTGCATTGGAGGCACACACGTGTACTGGTGTGCGTAACTGTGGTTGAGCATATAAAGGCCAGAGGAGGGCTTTGACTATTTCGTTTCATGGCTCTCTACCTTATTCCCTTGCTCCCTTGAGTCAGGGTTTCTTGCTGAGCCTGGAGCTAGGCTAGCAACCAGCAAACCCCAAGAATCTTCCTGTCTCTATCCCCTACAGCAATGGGGTTACAGGCTCATGAGACCACAACCTACTTTTTAACATGGGTGCTGGGGATTCAAACTCAGGCCCTCAGTGGCTTTTACCCACTGAGCCCTGGCCTCTGGCCTTGGACTCTTTACCCCCAAATGCTGGAATCACAGGCAGGAGCCAATGTGGGTAGGTCCTATTTTGACTCTTATCACAGTGCTTTCTCTCTGGTACACCCAAACAACCCTAATGCTCAGGCTCCCTGGATGTGTGACACTCAGGCCTAAGACAAGAAGGTAACTGTATTTAGCTTTGAGGCACTGTAGTGTTCTGCAGTTTTGTTTGTGGGTTGGTCTGTCTGTTTTTCCAGCTCCTTCCAGGCTGGCTGCCATCTTGAAGTTCTCCAGCTGTTAGACTGATTCGAGTAAAATGTTCCCTACTTTGAGCTCAGGCTCTGGTTGTAAAATGTTCCAGGTGGCTGCTGGAGGGGGTGAAAAAAAGAGGAGCAGAGCTTATGGCAATATTTACCTGGGATGTAAACCCCATATGCTATTCGCTCAGCGTGAGTTAGATCTAAAAAGGCAATGTTTCTGTTTCGGTAATGCAATTTGATGTGGCCCTTCCCAGAAGAGACTTCTCTCATGTGGAAAGATTCATATGAAAGTAGACTTGTGGAATCGAATGGTGGGTGATTTTGTTTGTTGTTGTTAATAACGGAAAACATGGCTTTAATTCCTGGTTGTATTTCTCTCAGTCTCCAGAACACATCTATGAGCTGTTGATGGCCAGCTGAAACCTCAGCTCACCCTCCATCTGGAGCCTGTGCTGGTCAAAGGCATGCATCAGTGTGAAACATGTAGACACACCTCACTGTGAAACCTCAAACCCATGGACAGGCACTACACACAGCCCTGCGCACACATCGGAGACTCTTCCCGGAATCCCCAAAACATGCCGCTCGCTCTATCTCGTTTATCTTCCGCTACCACTCTGTGTGTGTGTGTGTTGGGGGGTGTGCAGGTGCATACTCCCCTGGGTGAGCATACAGAGGTCAGAGAAGGATGTTAAGACAAGGTCTCATTGACGCAGAAGTTCCCCATTTCAGCTAGACTGAGACCTGGATGGCCACTCTCTTTGTCCCCTGGGGGTTATAGGCGACTCAGTGGTACCCAGCTTTTTTACATGGGTGCTATACACTTGAACTCATTCTTGCAGAGCAAGCACTCCTGCTCACTGAGCCATCTCCCCAACTGTCCTCCATTTTGCCCCCTTAAAATAGGGTCTCAGTACAGAGCTCAGGCTGGTCTCATACTTTAAATAAATTCTCCCACCTCAGCCACCTGAGTGTATACTGGGATGATAGGTGTACGCCACCATGCCTGCTTCTCCTGTCAGTTTGAAAGATGGGAGGTTCTTGTTTTCTTGACGGAAACAAGAATCATTTAAACACCGGTTCTGCTTCCCCAGGGAAATTCGAATCTGCTCCCAATCTGGTGGTAGCTGCTTTCCCATGGAACACTGAGTTAGCAGGCTTGGACCTGCCACTTCTGGCAACCACTCTCCCGTGGCTGGCTGGCAGGCTCAGTTTTCAGGTATTGTCACATGTCACAGCCTGCTAAGCTGGCCTTTGCCTCACTAAAAAAAAAAAAATGCCTAGATGGAATACGTCAGCTGGTTGCGTTTGTCACACAGCCATAAAGGCTCATCCAGGGGTGCCGAGAAATGGTCCACGTGGCTTTTGTCTATCTGTGACAAGGCTCCTGGAGCAAATAATGTCATCAGCTCATCCTTCAGACTCTGCTGTCAGCTGCTAAGGAAAACGTCGAGGAAGGAAGGACTCAGGGCAAGGCAGCAGCTGCTGAGTCAGAATGATGGTATTGGAAGGCTTAGAGGAGAGGCTGTCAAGGCCAGGTTCCTCCTGCTGCAGTGTTAGCCTTCTGTGGCCCTGCCAGGATCCATCGGGAAGAGGAGAGGAGGCAGCAGAAGCCAGGGGAAGTGGCTCAAGACGTGACCAAGAATGTTGTGCTTGTGACTGCTTGAGCTGAAACAGGAGAAAACAAAACAAAAACAACAACAAAAACTCCTTTAGGTAGAGAGCTCAGCCACTGTTCCATCCGAACCAGTGTGACTCACAGTCACACATGGTTCCTTTCCTAAATCAGAGAAATCATGGACTATAGTGAGGGAACTTGGTAAGAACTCAGTTGATGGACCCCATCTTGCCTTTCTTATCTGTAAAATGGGTCATTACATGTAAAGAGTGGTGAAGATTAAATAATATAGATGTATATGCTCAGCGTCTGTTCTGTAAATGGGAGATGTGGTTTTAGACTATTAGAGGAAGAAGTAAGTCAATGGTGTTGAAACCCTTAGGAAACTTTGCAGTATTGTCATTGTTAGAATGTCTTCTTGGGGGCCAGAGAGATGGCTCAGTGGGTAAAGGCACCTACTACCAAACCTGATGACCTGAGTTTGATCTCAGGAACCCACATGGTAGAAGGAGAAAACTAATTCCTGCAAGTTGTCCTTTGACTGCCACGGTTGCACCTTGGCACACATGCATGCCCACATAGGAAACACACAAATAAATAAATGCAATAAAAAAATAAAAAGAACAAGAATGTCCTTGGATCCTTCCTAAGCCTTCCTATTGGTGGTTTAAATATGTTTGCTTGTTTCCTCTTTCCCATGCTTGAGTTTACTGGTGTGTTCTCAGTAGGATCCATGTCTGGTTGCAAGGGCCTAATACAAGAGGGGGAACCCCCCCCAAAAGAAACCAAAAACAGGCATATGAAGGTTGTTCCCTTAAATCTCAATATAGTGGTTCCACCAGAAGCCTAAGGAATCGTTTCATCAACCAGAGCAGAGGTGTTAGTGGAGATTTTGGAGTGATACATTAAGAGCTTGGGCTTTTTCCAGCGTGGTGGCACACATCTGTAAAGGAGGGCCATCAAAAGTTTGAGGCCAGCATGCTCTAATTAGCTGGTGAGACTGTCTCAAAAGAAAGGGAAGGGGGGAGGGAGGGAAGTGGAAGGAAGGGAGGGATGAAGGAGGAAAGAGGAGGGAGGGAGGGAGGGAGGGAGGGAAGAGAGAGGGAGTAGGTGTTCCCATCCATTCCACGGGTCAGTAACCTCACAAAGCTTTTGTAGCAGTTTTAGAAGATGGCAGACACTTGGTTCTGTTGGAACTGTCCAACTGATGAACTGGCATTGGTCATCAAGGTCATGGCTAATAAGGACACTTGTTTCTTCATCCCACATCCACGTGTCCAACAGCCACCAGTAGACAGGCCTCAGCCTAGAGTGGAGTGCATCCAGGTCCTCCTCTATCAGACTCATACCCAGGGAAGTTGGCATGGCCTGACTGAATAAGGAAGTTTGGGGTCTTCGTAATAGCAGTTTGGGGTAGAAGGAAACATGCGTAGGTCTTGATGGGTCTCTTCACCTTGACCCATTTGTAGGGACAGCATCAGGAGATGCCCAGAGTAGATCCTCCAAATCGAAGCCAACTGGAGGCCTCTTTTGCCTGGAGTGAAAGGTGTTGCTGGCTGGGAAGAGGCCCCTCTCCCAGAGGCCAGACTAGACCAGCAGCTTCCAAGTTCCCAGGCTCTGGAAGTGGCTCTCAGCCCAGTCACTCTATCACAGTCCTTCACTAACTGGTCCTCAGCTAGGGGCTGTTAGTGCCCTTCCCATGGGAGCCTGGGGAGGCTCTGGTTATCCCTGCCCTTCCCAAGGTCACCCTGGGCAGTCAGCCAAAATAACAATTTATGGAAAAAGCAGGGGCATAATATAAATTATTTTTTAACTAACCCTCAGTTATCTGATCTCCCTGGGTTTCTGCTCAGGAAAGAAACCCCAAGAGTTAAACACACTTCAAGAAGAGGTAGCTTCGCTTCTTCTCAAGGGCGAAGCCAGAGGGAGGGTGTGACACCCATAAAACTCTCCCTAACTCTGCTGAGCCACGTGTGTAGTGAAAAGGGTGGAGGGGGCTGGGGTTGTACGGTTCAGTGGTAGAGCGCCTTGCCTAGCATGTGGCAGACCCCGGGTTTGATCTCAGGCGAAGGGACAGGATAAGAGATGAAGATTAAAAAAAAAAAAAGTACTTAGAGTTAAAAAGGAATTAAAAAAATGTTGTCCTGGTTTTTCTTTCTAAGAAACTATCGGATCACCAAGACTTCTGAAATGTTTGTTTGAACAGTCGAGGGACTTGGGATTGGGGATGCCATTTAACCCCTCTTGGGACAGACAGATGTCATTCATGCTAAGTTTGCCAGGAGAAACAGCAAGTTCCAAAAGCAAGGCTAAAAACCATGTGCCTTCAACTTAGACCTGTTTCCTGAAAGATTTGCTCCTCCATGCCCTTGGAGAATAGCAAAATCCCAATAAATGGGGAACTTTGTTAACAACTAGGAGCTATGAGATGTTTCTGACAAGCTATCCTGCCAGAGCCTAGTGGAGTCTTCCGAGAGAGTAGCAACATGTCCATAGGGAGAAGTTTCTATAATAAATTGCTTTCCAGCCATTTGTGTGTGCATGTGTGTATAGCTTTAATATGTATAGTATATTTACATATGTTGCTATAATATGCATCTAATATGTATTGCTCGATTTTAAAGAAGATTTACTTTTTATTTTTACTTATTCATATATGTGTATCTGTATGGCTTCATGTACCTACAAGCGTGCAAGTGCCTGTAGAGGCCGGAGAGCTTCAGACCCCTTGGAGCTGGAGTTACAAGTTGTCTTAGTTACGGTTTCTATTGCTGTGATGAAACACCATGACCAAAAAGCAAGTTGGGAAGAAAAGGCTTTATTTGGCTTACACTTTCATGTCACTATTCATCACCAAAGGAAGTCAGGATAGGAATTTAAACAGGGCAGGATCCTGGAGGCAGGAGCTGATGCAGAGGCCATGGAGGGTGCTACTTACTGGCTTGCTCCTCATGGCTTGCTCAGCCTGCTTTCTTATAGAACCCAGGACCACCAGCCCAGAGATGGCACCACCCACAATAGGCTGGGCTCTCCCACATCCATCACTAATTAAGAAAATGCCTTATAAGCTGGATCTTACAGAGGCATTTTCTCAACTGAGGTTCTCTCCTTTCAGATGACTCTAGCTTGGGTCATGAGACAACCTATCCAGCATGTAAGTAGTTATGAATCTCCTGATGTGGATGTTGCAAGAACAGAAAGCTCTCCTAACTACTGAGCCATCCCTCTAGCCCTTGGTTTTGTTTTTGAGACAAGGTTTTCACTATAATAACCTCAGTTGGCTAGGAGTCCTCTTGCCTTAGCCCCCGCTCCCTTCTCCCAGCCATCTGGGATTATAGGAATGTATCATCAAGTCTGTCTTGGCCATTCCACTAGTACGGCCATTAGCCTTGGGAAATAACCAAAGTTCTCCCTGCTTTGGTATCCATCCTACCCCAGAATGAGCAAGGTACCTGGCTTTTGCAGTTCTGTGGTATCCTTGTTTCTCTCCATCATAGCACACATCACACTATATTAAACCCATGTTCTCCCTTGCCTACCCTGCCAGAATGTGCCATCTTGGGGGCAGGGGCAGAGTTAGCAAACACTGAGAACAGGCATATGATAAAGTCTCAGTAGGTGAGCACCCATTCAAGTTGGCTTTGCCATTGGCTACAGTCTGCTCTTTGCTTGCACTTCTGAGGGTTAAGGGCTGGATTTGGAGAGTACCAAGTGAATGAAAAAGAGGGCATGGCTGCTCCAAGGTTGAGCAGAAAGGTTTTGTTGTAGATACAAGGGAGAGAACAGCCTGAGACATCATCTGAGTCCAGACTGAACTGAGGCATGAGAGGAGGGGGGGCAGGCAGAGAGGAACAGAAAAGACAGGTGCAGCAGAGGGGACCAGGAGCCAAGAGTGGAGGTTCAAGAGAGCCTATGGTCAAAATGGCAGGTTTCTATAGGAATGAGGAGCTGGAGGAAGGGAAGGGACGTCTAGACCTTGGGCTAGAGACGTTTAGAGTAGGGCGCAGGGTAGAAGTGCTGGGAGGAGCCTTGTCCTTGGTTTCTCTGGGACTTGACACCAGGAATATAGAGTCCTAGGAAATGTCTTGGGGTGGGGGAAGCTTTTGGCTTTTGTCAAACCCAGGGTCCTGATCTTGCTATATGCTGTGCCAATTTGGAATGGCTGCATAATTCACATTATGAGTACTCAGGTAATGAAAGGTACATGCATTTTGCATTGGGATTGGAGGGCTGGGATACAGCAACATCATGCCTTGTTTGGATACTGTAAAACTTACAGTTGACAAAGTTGAGTCACAAAAACCAAGTTTCAGAAAAATGTATTTGTTTTCTAAAGACTGCGGGAAATGTCTTCTCATTAAAAACGTTATTACATTAAGTAAAATTGAAAGTTCGCTTACTCTTAGCTGAATTTCAGGTTGTCAGTAGCTACATGGAGCTGCTGACCATTTCCCAGGCCATTGTATAGAAAGTGGACAACAGATGCTGCAAGTGACTGGCTATAAGGCAGGGACACTTGAGGCAGGTGGAATAGCCTGATAGCGAGTGTGTGCCAAGCAGAGTAGATTACTCAAAACCGAGTAACTGAGGCTGAAGAGGTATGGTTTTGTTCCAATGGGAAGAGTTTGGATCCCAAATCATGACATCAGGATCCTTTTTTTGTTACTACTTTGTTACAGCAAGAATCACCTAGGCACAAGGTGAAATCATATGGCCAGTCCCCCGGAGATGGTGGACAGAAGGGAGACACCAAGCAGAGGGAGAGGTGGAGAGCTGCTGGAGTAGTGACTGGCTATGTCTGAGAGACTAGAGCCCTTTGAGGTCTTTACAAAGCCAGAGTCAACAGGACATAGAAACCAGCTTGGCTTTTTAGGGAGGGTGAACATGGCTTTGGGGACTTTGCCCTGGGAGGTGGCTGACTGAAAAGTTTAACCCTAGTAGTTCTGCCGACTCCCTGAAACAGATGGCTGAACTGAAGCCTTCTTTGGAGTCTGGATTCTTTTTTTTTTTTTTTTTTTTTTTTAACTTAAAACAAGGGTGCAATTTCTATCTCCAGCCCCACCCTCTGAATCACAAGGGTGACCCTGGACTTTACCCTGAGTCTGAGATTGTGAGAGACACTCCTTAGTCCTTGGGAACTTGGAGTACTGGGTCCAGACTGGAACAGAAGCAAGGGCCTTTTGTTCTCAGAAGCCAGGGCAGCAAAAAGCCCCCTGCTTCCTGCCTAGCTGGCCCTTTTCCCTTCCTCCCCGGGAGAAGCTTCACTCCTCAGATGAGTTTGAGTTTTGTTACAACGA